TAAGTATTAGTGCCAGGCATAGTATCGCAACATCAAACCATTATGTTTTCCCCAAATTATTTTTAACATCCCTCGTACATCTAAATGTAAACCGAAACTTGTTCAAGTCCCCAAATTCAATAAATGAAAAATGAAAATTTGCCATCAAACCAGCACCTCCTCAGACATTCATGTGTTTTTCTTTACTATGAATGCACGCGTAGCATGCAAATGATTGTTTTCTTCAAGTGCTTTAAGCGGATGGAATATGAATGGAGGAATTGTACCAAAAGCACAATTTTAATTTCCACAAAGTTATATCTTCAGCATCGATAATGGATGGCAATTTAGACCGAAATTCTGAATTTAGAAAGGTTAATGAAAGCCTTTTATGCCTTCTCTCAAAATAGAAGTCGCACTTAAAAAAAATGAGAATATGAGCTTATTTTACGCTTTCCTTGTTATATACATGTTATTCGCCTGAAAATCAAGCCTGACAGATCTAGAATAGAAGAGCTTTATGTGGTTTCAGAGTTTTAATCTACTACAAACTTTGAATTTTTTGGATGGGATACTAAGAGCAGACCTTCTATGAATAGGGGTGGATAGAGAAAAGAGGGGGAGAGGATATATCAGAAAAGAAAACTGCTGAGAGGTGAAAGGAAAACTTTGTATTTTTAACTGAAACCTGAATACCCGCAGTGCATAGATACCACCTAGAGATGGATCAGACCAATTTAGACATGCTCACGTCAAAATGACTTTGAGCGCAACTTTCTTCTGCGTTTTAGGTTCTTCGTTTTAAGCAAAATTTGTAATCGTTCCACAAGATCTACTCAAGCTACCAATGTGCTAACCCTACTCGCCAGGCCTTCCCTATGTTCCTTCTTGTGCAAGATAATACACGAGTTCGAAGTGTTGCATGTAGCCAAAGTAGGTGTTCCTTTGACTCGAACCGTAGCATCAATATCTGACACAATTCCTAAAAAGAGACTTATGGAACATTGTGGGGGGAAAGCAACAGAGTAGAGCATACCGAGAAAGTGTTGAGTTGATCGATCACTGGTGCGCTCTTTCACTTGAAGACATGAGAAAAGCTGTAGCATTTGTTGCCGAAATCCGTCATTTGCCATGTAACACAGTGGGGTACACTAAATTTAGAAATTATAAACTTGGAAAACATTTAAGGCTTTAAAGGAATAATAATTCATGCACGGTATGGCTTAGTCCATCTCCCAAGCATTTGAAAAAATGGTCAGCGGTGAATTCAAAGGCCAAGAGGTGCTAGAAACTGCTGCACTGTAACCATTTTTCTGGAGTGGGAATGAATCAAAGTAGACAAATGTTTGACTAAATTGTATAAAGTAAGCTACAACTTAATCATTACAAAGACACAGGTCATTTGTCATACTGAACAACA